CCCCCACATAGATGCACAAAAATGCGTACACAAAAACAACGATTGCGCCAATTACGCAGCACATGTTACATGTCGCCGTGAACGTCACAGTGAGAGCAAATATTCTAGGGCCATCAATCACTGATAATACTAAACTCATGAGCATTAAAATCTTTTAACCACTTGCTGACCGGGGTGTTTACACCCCCTTCCTGTCCATGCCATTTTCAGTATTCAGTGCTGCAGTACTTTGACATTTATTCCGTCATGCAATGCTGTACTGAAATTAATTTTATACCATTTTTGGGGACAGATAGAGCTTTCTTTTGGTGGTATTTAATTACCACTGGGATTTTTATTTTTTACTATATAAGAAAAAAAGTACAGAATATTTTTAAAAAAACAAACGTTTTTATCTTTATTATTTTAGGAAACATTTATTTGTACCCAATATTTTGGTAAAATATAAAAGACGAGGTCACGTCGGGTAAATAGACACCAAACATGTCAAGCCTTAAAATTGTGCGCGCCCGCAAAATCGCAAAAAAACGACCATGACCAAAATTGGCTTTAAAAGATTTTACCGCTCATCAGTTTAGTGTTATCAGTGATTAATGTCCCGATAATTATTGCTCTCACTCCGACGTTCGCAGTTATATGTAACATGTGCGGCATAATTGGAGCAATCGTTGTTTTTGCGTGTAGGTGCACCTAACGCATTTGTGCGCATCTATGTGGGGGGGGGCTTTAAAAAAAATTTGTGGGGGTTTTTTTGTGTGTGTGTTTAAATTTCATTTATTTTGTGAGCAATTTTTTTTTTTTACTTAACTTTATTGTTAAGAAGTACCCTATGGGGGGCGTGGCTTACCTATGGCAGCGGCTGGACGTGTTTAACTGAAGCTCCCGCTCCATCCCCGAGTTGCTCGTGACACAAGGACACTTCGCAGGACTCCCTTACTATCCTCATAGGGGGGAAAAGAGGCCAAAAGTCGGCCTCAGCCAAGAGACCGAATGCGGGCTCACTCAAGCGCCTATGGGCAGCGGAATCCCCGCCGGATGATCGCGGGGCCCTGCACGCGCCTCCAACCCTTTCGCCAGCGCGGCCTGCGAAGGCCTCTACTCACCATCAGCGGCCTGAGAGGGACGATACCTCGGCCCAGTCGGAGGCGGAGGGCTCGGATGACGGCTCCGAAATTAGGGAGCTGTCGGCGATGTTTCTCCGCCTGGAGACCTCTATTAAGTCGGACCTGACTGCGCTCAGGTCCGAACTCTCGCACACGCTGCACCGCGTGGAGGCTGCGGAAGACCGCCTAGACGAACACGCACAAGCGATCCGAGAGCTCAAGAATCAGGGTAAGCTATCCTGGCTCCACACCCGCCAAGCGTTGTACAAAATCGAGGACCAGGAGAACAGAAACCGCAGGAACAACCTCCGTCTCCGAGGCCTGCCTGAAGCCAGGGGTGACGCAGACCTCGCGGACACTGTCAGGGGCATCCTCAATTCCATACTGGGTCGACCCCCTACCTCTACTCTCCTGTTTGACCGGGCACACAGGGCCCTGCGGCCCAGAGCAATGGCGGGAGAACTGCCCCGAGACGTCATAGTGCGGCTCCACTACTGCCCTGATCTTCACACACCTAAAATCCTCCTCGGAAGTGGACTTCGATGAGGCGAGGATTCAACTCTTCCCTGACCTCTCTCCGGAGACCCTTGCTCGCAGGCGCCATCTCAGACCCCTCTTGAAGTTGCTGAAGGGTGCCCATATCCCATACCGATGGGGGTTCCCCGCCTGCCTCATAGCTACCCGGGAGGGTAAATCAGCGATACTGCGCTTCCCTGAGGAGCTGGCAGATTTTTGCACCAAGCTGGAGATCTCCATGCCGGAATTGCCTGATTGGGCCGACCGACCGCCAGAATGGCGTTTCTCCCCCTCATCCCAATGTCCCACCTTGGTCTGGGGGTCCGGATGCTGTAGTGGCTATCGGCACTCTACGCCAATCCCACGGGACGAATCCGTATCAACGGCTCCCTATCCGCATCATTCACCCTCCACAACGGTATTCGACAGGGGTGTCACCTATCCCCCTTATTGTTCGCCATCTCATTAGAGCCCCTGTTAGCCACCATAAGACAGAACCCCGACATCCAGGGTATCCCAACCCCAGCGGGCGAATTCAAATTAGCGGCGTACGCGGACGATGTCCTGTTCTATGTCCGTAACCCACGTATATCTCTCCCACAAATATTAGCTTCATTAGACCAATATGGCTCCCTCTCAAACTTCAAAATTAACATGAGTAAATCTGAAATCCTTAATCTGAACGTGCCGGAGGAGGACGTTCGGGCCCTCCTCCCCCATTTTTCCTTCCAATGGCCCCCCCCCTATTCCATGCGATACTTGGGCATCCACTTGACACGTAAACTCTCAGACCTCTACCGTAGTAACTTTATACCTTTTACTGAACTTAGTAAAAACAGATCTGACCTCCTTTTCCTTACGTACACTGCCTTGGGTGGGAGGATAAACGCTGTAAAGATGATGATGATTCTCCCTAAAGTCCTGTTCCTGTTCCAAATGCTCCCCATAGAACTACCAGGTGCGTACTTCAGGACCCTCGCCAGAATCATGTCTACCTACATCTGGCAGAACCGCGCCCCCAGGATCGCGGGCAAGATGATGGTTAGGACCAGGCGGAACGGGGGGCTGGCCCTCCCAGACTTCCGGGTCTACCACGTAGCGGCCCAGATGGTAAGAGTGGTGGACTGGGTCTATGGGGGCGCGGGTAAGAGTTGGGTGTCCCTGGAGACTGCGGCTTGTGGGGCCCCTCTGGGGGAGGCGATATGGTTGCCCCCTGAATGGAGGCCATTTGCCTCTACTATGTTACCCCTCACTTCCTCAACGTTGCGCTCTTGGGATCGCCTACACCGCAGGTTCCGTTGGCCACACAACTCTGGCCTTATGCCTTTGCAGGGCTCTCCCCCCAGGGAGAGTGGACAGATCCTTCGCGCAATGGTCAGATTCTTCCACGCTTAAATTGGGTGAAGTGTTGACGGGCACCTCTTTAACACCACTGCTAACTCTGAGGGCCAAGTGGGGCAAGGTACCACTGGATTCCTGGAAACACCGCCAGCTGTCCCACTCTATAAATTCCCTTCCAAAACCTCTAAGAACGCCCCGAGAATATACCTTCATGGAATCTATTCTGAGCTCTGAATCGGTGCCCACTCATTGCCTCTCTTACTTCTATAAAGCCATCCTCACCGAGGAACATGTTGCACCCCCGCCCTACCTACGCAAGTGGGAGACGGACTTTTCCCGCACTCTTACCCTTGAGGAAAGATCTAAAGTACTGGCACTGGTTACTACCTCCTCCATAGACGTCCCCACGTTGGAAACTAACTACAAGTTATTATCAAGGTGGTACTTTGTACCTACCAGAATGCACGCAATTGATCCCCTCCTCGACCCTCACTGCTGGCGGTCGTTAGGCGAATCCAGGTTCCTATGCCCATATTTGGTGGGAATGCCCGTTGCTCATACCTTTTTGGACACAGGTGATTCAGCTTATTAACCATATCAGTGGTGAGCAGCTTCCGAGAGATCCTTGGGTGGTTTTGTTTCACCTTACCACTGATTCCCTGCGAACCTACCGGAAATCCGTGGTCCCATGCCTGTTGAATGCGGCCAAGTCTCTCATACCGAGATGCTGGGGATCTGCCAATGTTCCCTCCATGCAGGACTGGTTTCGGAAAGTGGACAACATCAAACTGATGGAGGAATTGTTATACACCTCCAAGGACTCGTACTCTACATTCTATAAGAAATGGGCGTGCTGGTTGGCCTTCCAGGACTCTGTTACTTACCATTCTCACTTGCTCGACATAGAGGTATGATCTCAGATGGTCAACGAGGATACGAGCCTCGCCCTGGTGAAAGTTGATATGTACCTACTCCTGAGAGGATAACACGTCTGGGGGTCCTGGGTTTATCCGTATTGTTCATTTGTATTGTATTTATATGTTTATTTTGTGGCTACACAGCCATACGCACAGGATAACACCCAGCCTGAACATACACTGTGAGATTGCGCACAACCGGAAAACGCTTAAACCTTGAACCTTCATGTATATAGCAGCTAAGGAACCATAGAGCAAGTTCACTAACACCCCTCCTTACCCCACCCTGTCTTGTCCTCCCCCCCAATCCTTCCCCCCTCCCCGCGTCATTTTCTTCCCCCTTGTTAGTGTCTGTCCGACACGCGGGGCATTGACTCACTAAATACTGTTATATATTGATTGCACTGATAATCTACCCCCTGTTATTGTATTGTGTTTTTTTTTTTTTTTTTGTATGTTTCCTGAAAAATCCAATAAACCGAAATAATAAAAAAAAAGAAGTCCCCTATGTGATAAATTACAGTGACAGGTCCCCTTTATGGAGACATCAGGCTAAGACCCCTAATGTCACCAAGGGACCCCCAGAGAAGCTGATGAAGCACAGATGTATACAAATAAAAACTCCAGTGGTGATTAAATATCAACAAAAGAAAGGTCTATCTGTCCCCAACAAATGGTATAAAATTAATTTCAGTACATGACGGAATAAATGTCAGTCAAAGTACTGTAGCGCTAAATACTGAACAATGGCCTGGACAGGAAGGGGGTGTGAACACCCCATTCAGCAATTGTTTAAAAGAAAATGCACAAAGCTAAAATAATTTTTTTTAGCCTAAATAACTTTGCCATGCTTTGTACCAGAAAAATTATTTGTGTCACAGTGAAAATATAGAATAAAATTTATTTTATTTACACTAAAACAACAATCTCAAACTGACAAAAAGAAAACTTTTTTTCATATTTTTGTCTACAGATTACATAAAAGTAAAGTTTTGGTTATATCCATTCTGCTTTTCCCTACCTTACAACAATACTTAACAAAATATGATTTCTAATTGTTAATTTGCATGTGTTTTTGCTACCAAATATTGTGTTGAATGTTTCTTTTCTTAATTCTTTTTAGTGGCAAAAGAAAGGACTGGCACTTCTCTTCTGCATCTTGCAGTTCCTTGCAATGACATGGCAAGTATTTTATTTATTTATATATCTACTATTTAATAAAAATTTTGTTCAGTCCACCCAAAGTGACATTTCAATTATAATTACATTTCAAACTCCTCTTCCCACTCAACAAAAGTCTGAAATTGCTTGACCTAACAATGCCTGCATTGAATCAAATGCATGTCCTGTTTAGGTATTCAGCAGCTCCTGAATGCAATACCTGGTAGCAGGGATTCCTAAACAGCAAGGATGGTGGGAATCGAGGAATTTCACTAATTCAGCCTGAGGGACTGAATGAGAGAATTTTGAAGCGTGTGTGGCCAGCTTTACACTCAGCTCTGTTGCATTTTGGGTGCTCTTAGACAGCTGTCCTGTACTTGATATCTGTGAAGGGGCGACCTTTGCTACTGTACTGAAATTCAGTATAATGCAAAACTCTATCCTAAAGTACATATAAACATGTAATTTAAACACTGGTAGAACACCAAAAATATTTTCATCTTTTACATCAAATTAAAAAACATAACTACCTACTTATTTTCTTGTTTTTTTGTTTGTTTTGTGATTGTACCATATAATTACTGTTTTTTTTGTTTTTTTGCCCTTTTTGGACCACAGCACTTTTTTAAGGTAGACTTTGAGAGCAAGACCATAGTTAGAATGCACCAATGATCATAAAAACTGTCATTACTTGTATTACTAGCAGATTTGTAACAGTTTGACAGATGTGTATGTATTTTTGTGGAAAATACTCTAATTTCTTCAAAATGTGGTACGTAACAAGTCTTTACATGAACAATGCTTGGGGCAGTGGAGAGTGCTGCATCTGATGTTTTTTTGTATACAGTATTTTCTGTGAGGGAATAAAGGGGCTCTAACAAATCTTTATTTTAAATCTTTCCATGTCCTGGGGTCATTAAAACTGACCCTGGACCGAATTTTTAACTTTTGGTAATAGTTTGCTCGACAATAACTTTTAACTGCTTTGCATACCAGAATTATTTTCTCACCATTTTCAACATATATAGGCCCTGCATTTTGGTAATTTGTTTTAAAAAAATACCTGAATATATGTTTTATAATAAACAGATAAATTGCACCCTAAAATCTGGAGCAGACAAAATTTGGAGCAGATTTGCACTGCTCCAGATTTTGTCTGCTCCAGTTTTGATAAATTCCCCCGAGTGTATACTAAACAGTATTTACACACACACACACACACACACACACCAGCAGCAAGTAAAGAGGGCAGGTTCTGTGCACTCCAGTGAATGCAGAGGAAAGGATTTACAAAAGGAGTACAACAATCCTATTTTTTTCTTTTGTTCATTGTAGGACACAGCTCTGCTGTTAATCAAAACTTACTGGGATGTCCCGAAGCAGTGGCACAGGGAACAGGCAAAAAAAAAAAGAGAAAAAACACTAACTGGTTTTAAAATAAAGTGATACAGGCCAGTCAGCAGAGGCGTCTCTCTAATTAGGCGGTCGCCTTAGGCCTCGCACTCACAAGGGCCTCGCGGCCGCCTATTTTGCCTAATGCATTACAGGGCACCTTAGCGCTGCGGCTCCGATCCGGGCCGGACACAATCAGCCTGATTGTGTTCGGCTCGGCCGGCAGTTGTGTCCGATGCAGAGTGTCAGGCACTAGCCTGCCCAACGCTATGTTTCAGCCTGTTCAGTCGCCTGCTCCGTGCAGATCTGCTCTGCTGTTTTCAGCAGGGAAGTTACAGCCTGCGAGAGGTGAATCGGCCACTGGGGAGGGGGTGTCCTTTTCAATGCCAGGAGCAGCAGATGTGGGTCCTTGCAGTCTGTGTTGCAGGCACTGAGACAGGCAGCTAAGGTCAGATGATGTGCCTGTAGGACCCCCCTGGTGTGCAGGAGTGAGGAGTCGACCAACCACCGTCTTCCTGAGCGTCCATGCAGAGAGATGTCTGTGTCCCATAACAGACAGCACTGCTGGAATTGGAGCTGGAGGATATGAGGGACACCCTAAGGAGCAGCTGGAAAGTATCCTAGAAGAAGCACATCCATGAAGCACATCTATTATACACTGTATTGCAGAATTTAACCCACTACATACCCAACACCACACAGCTGATCATAGAGACAAATTGGTATAAAAACCGTGACAAATTGGGACTTTTTAGGTGCATATATCACTATAAAAACTAAATATTTATTGTTTTAGCATAAAAATACATATAACTGTACACAACATGATAAAATGTGATTGAAATACCATGTAAACTACAATTGATGGAGTTTTTATAGTGATATATGCATCCTAAAAAGCTCCAATTTGTCACGGTTTTTGGCATATTACACACTGACCACCAGAGAGCCCGCCCAACTGACCACCTGAGAGTCTACTCTGACCACCTTAAAGCTCCACTGACCACTTTGGAGTCCACACTGGCCACCCGAGAGCTCCACTGACCATTACACTGCTTGGGGTGCGGAGGATGGCGGGTGATATCACAAGATTTCTCTGTAGTAAGCTTCCTAAATTGTTGCAAGGATTGTGTGTTGGTAGCAGCCCTCCTGCATTTACTAGTGTACAAGCAAAGAAAACAACAAGAGCGCATACACATGGCCAATTGGATTGTACATTGAAAAGGGCTACTTACATGAAGCTGGTGAGGACTGGGTGTCATGCAGCCTTGGTGGAGGATCGGTGGTATCTTGTGTTTGCTTTGACTAAAATGCCGTCTGTAACGGCCTTTGTGTCTGCGGACAATGTGGTGCGGGGTGCAGGGGGATTGTGCACCCAAGGAGTAGGGTGTCTTTGGCCGGCTGGATTGTGACCGTGGCTGTCAGAGTTATGTCAGACGATATGTAGTGCTGTTGGCACTGTATCCAAGGCGGATGGCTGTTACTGACAGAGGAATCATACAGTGAGCTCTACGGTCACCTGGTCAATGAATATCCTGTGAGAACTGACAGAATTACTGTCGGTTTGACAATATTGTGTTTGGAGGGATAAAGTACAAGGTGAAAGGAAATGGAAGGTTGATGGAGCAACGCGTTTCAAGGCAAACCTCTTTATCAAGCTCAAAATAGCAGTGGGTAAACTTGTATTTACTAGTGGCTGGGCCTGCCCCACAATTGTGCTACCGTGTTTGGCTCTGCCCCCAGAGTGTGAGGGGTGGGGTCTATAAAGGTGATGTGATTGGGCTGCTTAGTGCAAAATGCCTATCTTTTGTCCCAGTCTGGCCCTGGCTACAATGCATGCTTGAATGTGACAGGGCTTCTAATGCTGCTTGCGTACAGCAGCGTTAAGGACTTTTGTCACCTCCGATGTAAAGTGACAGCATGAGAATCTAAATCTGTCACTTTACTTCGGAGGTTGCAGGAGTCCCTAACACTGCTGTGCAAACGCAGCATTAGGATTAGCATAACAGTGTATAAAACTGGCGCTTTACATTTTAAAACTGGAGTCAGTGCTTTAAACAGGTGCCACTGTTCACAGGAAGGCTGCCGAGATCCCCAGAAAGCGTGGAAATTCAACAGCCTTCCTGTGAACTGCAGTGCCAATTTACAGCGCCAGGCGCACATCTTCTCCTTCCTGAAACAGCTGCCCACGAGACCCTGCACGGCTGTCCTAAGACCCTGCACGGCTGAGACCCCCTCCTCGCACAGCCTCCTGGGACCCCGTACAGCCTCCTCAGACCCTGCACGGCCTCCTGAGACTACACACAGACCACCTGAGACCCTGCACAGCCTCCTGAGACCCCACGCAGCTTCCTGAGATCCCGCACAACCTCCTAAGACCCTGTACAGTCACCTGAGACCCCACACAGCCTCCTGAGACCCCGTAGAGCCATCAATTTTCCATTATGGGAATGACTGGGGCCTAATTTTTAAGTTTCACCTAAGGCCTCGCAAAGTCTAGAGCCGCCTCTGCCAGTCAGACGGCCCTCTGCAGAACTTTGCCTCCAAAACATACATCAGCTGATGTTGCCACATCTACCATGTAAAGTTTGTGATTAAATGTACTGTCAACCAAGTGGCCACATAACAATCCTGAGAAATTAATGTTTGATGGAGGAAAGGCACTTACTGCCCTTGTGGAATGTGCTGTAAACAGAAAGAAGTAGTTCTTGGCATACACGTGGACAATAGTTTGCTGGATACAAAGTAAGATACCGTAATAGCAGTTGATGCTCTCTATAACCATGAACACTGAATCTGACCTACAATACCAAGACATGGCATTCAAATACAACCTAACCACATCTAATGAATGTAAGGCAACTTCCTGAAGGTACACTGGCTTGGGACAAAGCAATGGAAGCACAATGTCTTCAAGTGAAAAGCTGATACCGGTGGCATGGCTTGCTGCCAGACAAGATGGCCACGGACTGACAGAGCTCTGCACCACCGGACCCACAGAGAATGAACACTAGCTATAAATAGCATTCCTGTGTCAGCCCATCTGCTTGTGTGTCTCTGCAGCGTCACCAGAGCGGAAAGAAAACTAGAGACCCGCGGCAGACTCCATCATGTACACTACATGGTCCCAAGATGGCGGACGCACGAGGAGATGTAGAAGAGCCGGCTTCACTGAAACTTGCTCCTGAGGTATTCGACTCATCCTCTATGGATAGCCTGCCCTTGGCACAGGGGGACATTTCTGCTTGTGATCGGGACTCTGCATTATTTGTCAGATTTCGCTCAATGTTACAAACGGAGATTAATGCGGCTACTGATAAACTCACTGCTGCTCTTACAAAAGAAATCCATGAAATTGGTGTTCGTACAGATTTTGCTAGAAAGAAAAATGAATCATGTCATAACTAGTAAATTCCCATGAAAAGGAACTGGACACTGTGACAGCTAATCTAACTACTGCATTGGATAAATTGGAAGACTTAGAGAATCGGGCCAGGCAGGAAAATCTGCATGTCAGGGGTCTCCCTAAATCTATAGAGGATCTTAATTCTACCGTTAAAGCACTCTTCCAGGAACTGGTCCCCTCTGTGCCTGTTGAGAGATTGGAATTTGATCGTATGCATAGAGCC